ATTTGATCGCTCCCCTATATATATATATATATATATATATATATATATATATATATATATATATATATATATGTGTGTGTGTGTGTGTGTATATATATATATATAAATATTGATGAAGCTAGAAGTTAGCAGGTACGGTCACCCCTTTTTATAATTTCTAATGATAAAAGTAGTTAAAATTTTAATATAAGAAGGAAAGCAAATGATATTTGTCCCCGAAACATGTTTTATTAATCTGGGCAAACTTCCAATCTTAAATTATAGATTTGTCTATTATTATTATTATTGTTATTAGTGTTATGATTTTTATTATATTATCGTGATCTACAACATTACTTTATATATAATATTCAAAACATACGGCCTTTGAGTTTGAGATTAGATCGTTAGTTTCTTTTCCTATATATTTATTGTATTTTGTCGTGTAACTTTATTTTAATTACATTTTAGTTTTGGTCCTTCTGTTAAAAAATTTATAACAATATCGGCTCCAAACCCTTTCTCTACTCCACAATCTCTTCAAAAAAGTTTGGCAAACCTTCTAAATCATTAAGAGTGTGTTTGTTTCATAGAATGTTTTATGAAGAAATGAAATCTATTAAAATAATTTGATTTTGAAGGAATTGAATTTGATCGTACGTTTGGTTGGAAAGAATTTGAATGAAATCTGTTAATTGATTTGGAATATGCCTATTTGGTTGGTGGAATATAGCTTTGAAATTGGAATGAATAAACAATAAATAACTAAAATACCTCATTTTATAACGGTGGTGGCCGGATGTGGTTTAGAACAGTGGTTCAGATCGGTGGTGGTCGGCGATGGTAGTTCAGAATAGTTGTGGTCGGCGGTGGTCGAAGATTAGCCAAAATGTTGGTTCATATCGGTGGTGGTCGACAGTGGTACAGAACTGTGGTGATTGGCGATGGTTCAGATGGAGATCATATGAATATGGGTAAATCAAGTAGGGAATATGAGAATAATTTCGTCTTTTAAGAAAATGAGATGGAATGAAATTGAATTCCTTCCCAATTGTGATAGACACGGCCGTCATTTTATAGTATTCATTTTATAGTATTATTTATTGTTTCTCTAAGTACTTTATATTTTACTAAAATCTAAATTACCTTCTCTACGAAACATTGATATATTCCCCATCATTCATCTTTCACTAACTTTTTTAATTATTCCACCAGCATGAATTCTATTTTTGTATTAGAATATAATATATTTCTTATTATTAACTAAGAAAACTCTTATCTTTTGGAAAAAATTACCACCCATATGAAACAATCTAACTTAGATTTATATTTAGAATTTTAAAACTACTATTGTCTTTACATACATCATTGACTCTTTATTACCTAATATTGAGTGATTAATCTTAAGTGCTCTTTTATCTCTAAAACAACAATAAAATCTCAAACTATAACTAAGATGGATTTTTGATTATAAGATTGTTGGTTTCCTAAAAAAATTGTTTAACCTTAAAAGTTTAAAATAATGATGAAAACATTAACATGATGTTACATGAAAACTCAACTGATTTATATTGATTTATGTGTTACTTTGAACAGTCAACATTAGTACCCCAATTGATCTCAATCTATATACTCAAGATATATCATAAAATGTGTTTGGTAGTGGAATGAATTTACAATTTTATGAAAAATAGATATGATAGATAATATTAATTTAAAAATAATTATTGATTGATTTAGCGTCTAGAAATGTTCGGAAGACGGTTTTATATTAATTATTAATATTTTTGAACTGAATGTTATTTTTGATGATAAAAACAATTTATTTTCTTTCTTCCTTATCAAGTGCCCCTTTTATATTCAATTAATTTTAATTTATGCAATTTTATAAAAAATTGTATTTGGTTATTTTCATTAATATATTTAAACTATTAAAATTAGTAATTAATGTTTACTCTAGTCTACTCATCTACACAATCTCTCTCTCTATATATATATAGAGATGAGCGATCAAATGAAAACCGTCTTCATTTGTGTAAACCGTACAAACCACCCTCATATGTCTATTTCATTGTTTAATTTTATGAAAAAAATTCATGAAATTGTTTAATCTTGTGAAATTGTTTCATATAATACTTTTTTTGATGAATGTGTTTCATATATGGTTATGAAATTGTTTCATATATTATTTAATGAAATTTTAATGAAACTGTTTCATGTATTTCTCTAAAATTAAAATAATGAAGATGATAATATCCATGATTAACAACCTCCACAATAAAAATGGTTAATAAACCTCTCATAATTACAAAAAAATGAACAAAATGAAACATTATGATTGGTTGAATGTGGTTTTCACGGTTTATACAAATTGAATGGTTTTTATTTGAACGCTCCCTATATATATTATAGGGGCAGACCTACTAGGAGGTGAGCGAGGTCTTGTGTACCCGCTCACTAGATTACCGCACAAGGAAAGAAATAAGAAGTTAAAGTGAACCACAGATAGTCTACCGGGCTTTGCACTTCGGCCCGTGAGAATACCGTGCTCGTCGATCTCTCCGAACCGTTATACCCCAAGCCACGACGAAACAGCCTAGAAGACTCGGCTGATTTTCCACCGAAAGTATAGAAGATAAGGTGTAAAATATAAATCACTAGGTGTTGGATGCACCCATTTAATTACAAAGTGCCCCTTAAATTTTTGGAAACCAATGTTACATATAGCATCTATTTATTTTTATTTTTAATGGTTTTTGTTATGAAAATATTAAAAATAGAAAAGTGTTCTGAAATGTTTTGAAACTGAAAGGACTAAACCGAAATTTTTAATAAATTTTAGGGAAAAGTCCAAAAAAACCCAATGAACTTTACTATTTGGAACGATTAAGTCCTTGAACAATTTTTTAGAACAAATAAATCCTTGAACTTTCTAGAACCTGTTAAATAAGTCATTGGACTTTACAAAACCTGTTAATAAGTCCTTAGACTTTCTAAAATATGTGAAATACATTTTGTTAGTGGAAAAGATCCAACGAAAAAAGTACCTACATTTATAAAAGTAAAACAAATATATCATTCTCCTTACTATTCGCAAAATATACAAAAGTTGTATCCAAAGCATAATAATCTGCATACAAATTTTGGGCATAATTTTACCAAAAGTTAAAGGGAAAAATACAATAAAAACCAATGAACTTTCTTGTTTGGAATGATTAAGTCCTTGAACTTTTTTTTGGAACAAATAAGTCCTTGAACATTCCAAAACATGTTAAATAAGTCCTTG